ATTGATAGTCAACATTCTTGGGAAGATTTCTGGATCATATTGGATCTTAGGTTTGGGCATCTGGATTCATTCATGTACAAGATCATCAATAGATGCATGGTCAGGCTCTTTTTTCATATCATACATATTTTAAATCCAAAATGTCAATTGGACAGACTGTCGATGTAATTGAGGTAAATATGACGAGGCAGCTGATGGCGATTCCAACAAAAGGATTTTGTAGAGTGTTTTGAACAGTGGAAGGGATGCTGAGAGAACTGTGCAAGGTCCCAAGGTGCCAACTTTGAAGAGATCTGAGTCATCATTGTCCTATGTACAATTTTCTTCAATAAACGTCTCTATTTTTCCTATTACATGGCTGGATACTTTAGGACAGACCTTGTATAATCTTTAGCCCTGTTTATTTTTAATTTTTTTTTAATTTTTTGTTATACAAAAGATGAATGAATACATTATCATTGAACAGCAGCATGTAAGCAAATGAAAATAAATGTAAGTGCTAGCTTTTCATTTTATATTTAAAATAGATGTTTTCTCAAAAACAACTCACTAGCACAATAGTCAGGTTATGTATCGCATGCTCAAATTTATTTTAAACATAATGAAATCCAATGTACTTATTTCTTTACAATTGCATGTTAATTCAATTTTAAGTAACAAAGAATGCACACCATATAGTATAAAGTATCTATCTATATTTATTACATTACATATACAAATACATCACAAATAACAAAATCAGTGACTCACTAGGCGATTAATATACAAAAATTCATATTCACCACAATCCACAAGCCTAAATGGGCAGAAACATGAGTCAAAAATAACCCCCAATGTTTCGGCTCCTCCTGGTAGCCTTTATCAAGGGTATCTATATCCAATATATTTTGTTATTTATGATGTATTTGTATATGTAATGTAATAAATATAGATAGATACTTTATACTATAGAAAGTAGTAATACTAGATACACTGACTCAGGGGTCACTAATTTGGCCCGTGGGTCAGTGTTTGCCCTAGGACTATTCTTCCCAAACGGGGAATAACCCACAATATGTAACTGAAAAAAAAAAAGGGAAGGAAGTGAGACCTTAAGGTCCCAAATGGAAGAATAGTGCAACAAGGAAAGGGAGCCCTACCTTTATTAATCCTAATGATGGGAGCGATATTAAAATGGACAGAAAAATAAGAGACCTCAGAGAGGGTAATGGTTTGTCAGCACACATTCTAATCCTAATTACTACAAAGAGGAGTTAGGCGCTCACTAAATAAACTAAAGGTGGGCAGCAGTGAACCAAGCAGGAATTCCCAATACCTGCTCACAGTAGTAAAACAAAAGAGACAAAAGTGGTAAACCGAGCCCAAACAGTGCAAATAATAATTAAAATATATACATACAGAGAATCCTCTAATTAGGAATGTATGAAACCTTCAAGGCAAAAAAGTACAGAACCATAATAGTGCAATATGTCAAGTGAAATAAGAGTATATAAAAGTTTATAAAAGACTCACTCACACTTTGCAGAGCTACTCAGAGCTCTGCCGTATAGCGCTTAGACGGTATAATCCCCGTCTCAGGATATCAAGTGATGGTATAATGCGGTATCCAATCCTCCACAGTGGTATATGGAAAAATAAAAATAGAAATAAAATCCAATAGTGTAGTATATCTATTAAAAAGTGTGCAAATAAAGGAAAAGTATCCTACTTGCAAATTTCAGAGCAAATATCTTGCTCTGGTATAAACAGCATGTGGTGGTATGATCCCCACCAAAGGATATAAGTCAGGATTCAAGATGTATCAGAACAACAAATAAAGTAGTAAAAACTATAACTTTATTGTTACAAAATAAAAAATATATAATAAAAGAAGTATCAGATCTCTTATTTAACGCGTTTCGCCCGGTCTGGGGCTTTTTCAGAAGTAATAAGTCCAAAATTCAATGGAGTCCTCTTTATATAAGTGTTCCTGATTAATGTGATTTAGTCCTGATGCAATTTCACTTCCTACTTCCGGGTCGCGTGTGCCGCCCGGAAGTGACGTCAGGGCGTCTTCTCGTAGCTTGCTGGGATATGTAGTATCCCTCCATTCATGTTATTATTGTTCTGTACTTTTTTGCCTTGAAGGTTTCATACATTCCTAATTAGAGGATTCTCTGTATGCATATATTTTAATTATTATTTGCACTGTTTGGGCGCGGTTTACCACTTTTGTCTCTTTTGTTAATCCTAATTACTAACCTACTCAAAAAAACCAGGCTATGTCAACATATCTATAAAAGCCTAGGTAACTGTAGATAGAGTATATATATATATATATATTATATATTATATAAGCGGCTACATGGATACATTACAGGTTCACTGCTCCTGACGATGACATGTTAATATGCCGAAACGTGCATCGAGCTAATTTATTTATTTATTTTTCTTTTATAATTCACTTGGTAGCACAGAATTATGGATTTCTATTTAGGTTTATTTATGTAGACTAGTCAATTGGACAGGCAGGGAGAGGTTTACAGGTAGGCACCTGTGTGTCACATCACAGTGCCGAGGTATATCACTATTAATAACTCTTTTCTCTTAATAGTGAATTAGAATTGGGTTTGTGTTTTTGGGAGTTTCTTTTTCCCCTCCCCTTTTCAGGTTAGGTTTATGGGTTCATCTCCTAGTTCAGCCTAGCCGTTATCTTTCCTTCTATTACCTGTTGTTTTCTACTTCCTATACTCTATCTACAGTTACCTAGGCTTTTATGGATATGTTGACATAGCCTGTTTTTTTTGAGTAGGTTAGTAATTAGGATTGGAATGTGTGCTGACAAACCATTACCCTCTCCGAGGTCTCCCTTATTTTTCTGTCCATTTTAATATCGCTCCCATCATTAGGATTAATAAAGGTAGGGCTCCCTTTCCTTGTTGCACTATTCTTCCATTTAGGACCTTACTTTATACTATATGGTGTGCATTCTTTGTTACTTACTATTGATTGTTTTGGTATTTGAGGGAGTACCTTTAAGGAATAGCACCCT